TTATTTATGTGATTCCCTTACATTTTTACATTTTTACCACAGACATCTTGAGTTCCTTCCTGAAGGTGTCTTTTGCACAGATGCTTCTTAGTAGCAAATAAAATAATTTTCCATGAGATTTGCTACAGTAGAGCAAAATGTGCTAAAACCTGCAAATTAATGAATTTATGACACTATTTTTATTACATTATGCAATGTAATAAATAAATAGTGTAATAAATTATTTTAAATTAATAAAATAAATTTATATTTATTTATTTTTGTAAATGTTTATTTTACGTTGAGGCATTGCTGTGCAACAAAGAGGCCAATTCTCAAAGGATTAACTGTGAGTTTCTGGAATCACAGCTCTGGGAGCAAGAAAGGCAGAGGGATAAATTCAGAGGGTCACAGAATTTCACACAGAATCATGGAATTAAGGTTGGAAAAGACTTTTAAAATGAACAAGTCCAACCATCAACCCAACAGCACCATGGTCACCACTAATCCATGTCCCCAGGTGCCACATTCAAAGGTTTTTTTAGCACTTCCAGGGATGGTGACTCCACCACTACCCTGGGCAGCCCTTTCCAATGCCTGATCACCCTTTCCATGAAGAAATTCCACCTGATATCCAATCTAAACCTCCCCTGGAGCAGCCTGAGGCCGTTTCTTCTCATCCCATCCCTGGGAGAAGATAAGGAGATATCAACTCTCACCTCAGTGGGATTTTTTATTCTTTTTTAGGTCAAGCGTTGTTGACTATTTGCCATTCCAGTCTGTTGCCCAAAATTCAATGGCACATGGCCAAAATCTTGCCCAGGATGATGTGGCATGTGGATTTTGCAGATGTGGGGAAAGATCTGCTCCACCACATCCCTGTTTCCATCACGTCAAAGGATGTGGGGAGTGCCACAGGACTGTGCTCTACACCCACTCCCTGACCCCAGCAATAAATGACTTGGGTTGGTCAGGAATTTTCCAACCTGAAGAGTTTTCCACCTGAGAATGCTGACAAGGCCCAACTGAAGAGTTCTGGGGAAGGTTTTTATTCCATTCAGAGCTTTGGGGGTGGAAACAAAGCAAGGCCTGGCCAGGTCCTTGGATGGGCCCTCAAACCCTGCCAGCTCAATCCCTTCTCCACACACCCTGGAGCTGTGGCCGCAGCATTTCCCTGCTGATGGATGAGCCGGGGCACCAAAGAGAAGCAGTTCCATCAGCAATGGCTTTGTAGATTAATTTAATTAATTGATCCAACAGCAAAATGTATTTATTGAAGGCGTTTTTTAACGTGTTGGCACACAATTATTTCTCTGCTCAGTTTGGGGATCCCTCAGGCTGGCCCAGAGCCACAAGCCCAGGCTGGGGGGCAGAGGGGGAAGAGTTGGAGGTCATAATTAGGGAGAGCTGGAGATCACAGAGGAGAGAGCCCACAAGTGGAGGAGAGAAGCTGGTTTTGGTCCCATTTTTATGCTGCTGAACAAAACCTGAGAGGGATGGAAAAGGACACTTTGTGCTTGTGCTGTGTACAACTGATAACCAGCATGTTCTGGTGATAGGATAGGTGTGCTGGTGATAAGATAGGGGTCCTGGTGATAAGATAGGTGTGCTGGTGATAAGATGGGTTGGGATGAGCTAGATCAGGCTGGAGGATGTGATGAGGTGTCCCAGTGATGATCAGATGGGTGCCAACACTGTCACGTTATCGCTGTGGGTGCTCAGGAGGGTTCAAGCCTTCCCTCACAACACAGAGAGTGGAAAATTCCAAAGACTTGGGTAAAATGGAGGGAGATGGATGAGTGCAGGGAAGGAGGGAAGGAAGAAAAGAGAGGATTTGCGGACGTTCCTGGAAGAGCAGCAACTCTGAGTCTGTGCTCTCCAACTGCTGCCTTTATCAGTGACACAGCCCTTATCTAAGCCCAGACCCCTGGCATCAGACAGGGAAGGGGCTGCAGGTCCAGCAGGGTGTTCCACCTGCAGCAGGGAGAGAGGCAGGGCTGGAAAATTATCTAAATCCCTGCTGTGGATAGCAGAGAGAGGCTGCAGGGCCTGGAGACCTGGAGATGTTCCCACTGAGGGGGCTGAGGCCCTCTGGAATGGATGATCAGGGCCTCAATTCTGAGGAAATTCCCCTCAGGGGTGACTGTCGGACCCTGGACATCCCAAAAAAAGATTCACAGGAGCCCTGTGACATCAGGTCCTGCTTGTCTCACTCCTTTCTCCCCTTCCAGCAACTCCTGGTATTTTCCAATGCTCTTGGAACAGGCAGCTTCCAACCCAAACCATCCCCAGCACAGGATAAACCCTTTCCTTTGGCCTTCTGGAAAAATCCCAAGGGATTTATGTCCTGTCTGTCAGGAAGTGGATGAACTCAAAACTGTCTCCAGCTAAAGCAGAAGTTTCTCTATAATACTTCTTTGGTGCTTTCCTTCCCTGTTAGAAAAAAAAAAAAATAGCAGAGTCCAGTGAACTGAAAATTTATTGCAAGAAACCATTTCGAACCAGAAAATGATTTGCTTGGAAAACAAAGTCTAAACAAAATGTTTTGGCAGTGGCTTTCAAGCAGTAAACACATTGAGCCTTCTCTTTTCCAGCTGAAGAGCTGCTCTCTCTTGGAGGAAAACATGACAGACAGGAGAATTTTCTCCTGTCTCTGCATTAAGTGACTGAACAAACAGGAACAAGGCAGGTTCTCCTGGATCCTTATTTTCCTCTCTGGGTGGGATAATATATCCAGAGTTCAACATTCAGGACAAGGGGATGGGGTTGAGAGAGAAAATGCCACCTGAAGAGTTGGTCTCTCTATCTAAGCAAAGAAATTTAGGATTTTTTTAATACCAAACCTGGCTCAGTGACTGCTGGGACAGAGGTTACTTCCGATGTAGATAAGGTTAATTATCTAAATGCTCCCCAGAACTTGGTTTTCAGCCCAAATCCGCTCTCACCGAGGCTTTTGGCTGTACCTTGGCCTGAGGCTGTTTTTTTACCCCCAGGACAAGGTGCTGGGGGGGAGCTGCTCTGTGGCTTTAGCTACCAGGAGATGGTGAGAGATAAATTCTTGTGTTCGCAGCATCGAAGGGCCCCCACCTCCTCCTTCCTCTGCCTCTCTGTCCTCTGCAGCACAGCCCCCACCACGGGCCATCCCCTGCACTGGGGATCCACTGCAGACCCAGCTGAGCAATTTTTTTTTTTTTTTTTTTTGCAAGAAAACATGCCAAAAACCTTCCAGCTCTGCAGCAAAACCAGCCCAAAGATTGCCAGAGCATCAAGGAGGGAAATCCCGGCTTAATAAAGAGAAATTACATTCATTTTCTTGTCAGCCTGTTGGAAATGATACAATTATTAAAAATAAGCTTTAGTTAGTTAATCATAACCAATACATTAATTATAGACAATGTGTTGTTCTTAAATTACTCTTTGCATATAGCAAAGCTCCTTTTGTGGGAACACAGCCTGGAAAAACGACTAAAACTGTAAAGTTTGTTGAGCTAACCTTGATATGCTGCAAGGAAAATTCACTGCTTTGTTTGCTAAAAATGTATAAAAAGGTGAGGAGGTTTTGGATCGGGGGCTGTGTGGAGGCTGGGATTTTGTCAGCCCCATCCACACCCAGAGCTGAGAATAAAGCAATTTTCTAACACTAAAAATGCAGCCTTGGAGGGTTCTCTTATCCTGATGGGTTTGGGTGTTTTTGGTAACAAGCTTGAAGCAGTTGCCAGCATTTCTCAAAGTTCAGTGATCCAAGCCATGGGATGTCAGAACATGGAATAGTTTATTTACAGGGTGACCAGTTTTTAAGCTTGAAAAACAACATTTCATCAGCACAGAGGGGCCAGGTGGGATCCATCCAGGAGATGAGGGATTTGTCCTGGAATTGTTTGAGAGCTACCTTGGAGGGCTGGGTGATAAGATGGGTTGGGATGGCCAGGGGTGCAGGGATAAAAACCAGCTCTGTCCCACTGCTCCTCCCCATTCCAGTTGCAAACCAGCTGCTCCTTGCCCTAATCCAAGGGGAAAAGGAGCACAGGTGGTTCCTTGTGCTGTGTCCCACCCCCCACCAGAAATGTGCACTTGGTGGTGTGAAAAATGCATGTATTTTATGATTGGCTTTTCACAAATATTCAAATGAATATTATATGTGTTGTGTTAGAAAGTGATGCTGTATTAATTCTCTAAAGTACTGTGTTAAATATAGTTTTAGGTTATAAAAATTGTTAAAATAGAAATGATGCTATGTAAGATACTTTTTTAAAGAAAGGACTCACATTGAGATGGCAGCGACAGGACACCTGAATCTTTCAGAGAAAAAGAATTTATTGCCCTCTTATCAGAAGAAACGAACTTCTTCCCACCTCGAAGGCGCTGTTGGGATTCGGAGGAAGAAGTTGATGATGACCAGACAGAATCCTGTGTTTGAATGGAATTTATGCATCATGTATGAAGTGTATGAATATGCAACAGGGTATTGTTTTTAAGGGTTAATCCTTTGTTACCAGGTGTCCTTTTTCAGGCTCGTGCTGCCCAGAAAAAGTACCTGGACATCTATAACTCTTTGTACTTGTTGTCTCATATTGTCCTAATTCAACTTGTCCAAATTATTATTACTCTAATTGTATTACTATTTTTATAACCATTTTATTACTATTAAACTTTTTAAAAATTTTAAAAACAAGTGATTGGCGTTTTTCACAGTGGTTTCCTGGGAAAGCATTGTTTGTTAAAGAATCTGGAAAAATCCAGATTTTCTGGAGCCAACACAGTTCATCCTCAGCGAGCCTGGGAGGCACAAAGCTCTGGGGTCCTGGGACAGCTTTGGAATTGGGTGGGAAGGAGCTCTGACAGTCTGTGCTGCAGGGCTGGGCCAGGCTGGAGGAGCTGGGGGGCACAGCTGTGTGTCCCTGTCCATCCCTCCTCATCCTCAGTTCCGCAGCTGCTGAGGAGCGTTTCAGAGATTAAAGCAAAACTTCACAAAGAGCCTTTCCAGGTCCATTCAGGGCAGGCGGAGGAGCAGAGGAGGAGTCTCAGGGAAGAGCTGCTTTGGCCCTGTCCCCTGTGTCTGGCCCATTTTCGGGCTTGGCAGCAATGCTGTAGTAGTAGGAGCGGATGGTGTTCTCCACAGCCACAAAGCCTGGACGTTCTTCCCATCTGCAAGGGCAAAAAAAGTCATCAGAGAGGAACAAATAAAATCATCAGAGAGGACAAAAGTGGCCTGATGCACTGAGAGGACACAGAGACCCTTGGGGGAGAGCAGCAGCCAGGGCTCAGGAGGCAGCTGAGACTTCTCAGGGACAGAGAAGGTCAAAGACACAGAGCCTTGGGTGTGATGGCATTCACAGGGGTTTTTGGATGAGGGAAGAGACGAGGATCTGACTCCATGTTTCAGAAGGCTTGATTTATTATTTTATGATATATATTATATTAAAACTATACTAAAAGAACAGAAGAAAGGATTTTCATCAGCAGGCTACCTAAGAATAGAATAAGAAGGAATGATAACAAAGGCTTCTGTCTCGGAGACAGAGAGTCCAAGCCAGCTGACTGTGATTGGCCATTAATTAGAAAAAACTCTATGAGACCAATCACAGATGCACCTGTTGCATTCCACAGCAGCAGATAATCAATGTTTACATTTTGTTCCTGAGGCCTCTCAGCTTCTCAGGAGGAAAAATCCTAAGGAAAGGATTTTTCAGAAAAGATCTCTGTGACACCTTGGGATCTTCCAGGATTGGCACAGGCAAATGGAGAGGTCTGATAATAAAAAATTCCTTTTGGGCTGGGGAATCATCACAAGGCAGGAGACATCATTTGCTTTGTGTTGTCACCACACAAGCAGTGTGGTGAAGGTGTCTCTGCCCATGGCAGGGGGTTGGACTGGATGGGCTTTAAGGTCCTTTCCAACCCAAATTTGCAATCCCATTCTGGGATTTGGTGGCTCTGGTGGAGCTGGCACCGTGGTGAAATGCTCACCTGTATGTCCAGCACTGCTGCATCAGGGAGTACATCTCTGCTGGGCACTCCTGGGGACAGTCCATGCGCTTGCCCTGCTCTATGAAGCTGATCACCTCAGGGCCCTTCATTTTCTGGGATGGGAGTAAGAGGAAAGGGATTAATGTGCTCAGAGCTGGCAGCAGGGCTAGAGGAGACAGGTTAGAGCTGGGCCTGGGGTGGAGCTTTGGTCCCATACACTCCACACCCAACAGCCACTGTTCCCACCCCAGCAGCCAGAACTGGTGTCCCACACTGTGGCCAGGCCGTCCTGCAGATCCCATCCCAGCCACCTTGCAGATCCCATCCCATAGACCCCATCCCAGCCACCCTGCAGATCCCATCCCACAGATCCCATCCCATCCCATCCCATCCTGCAGATCCCATCCTATAGACCCCATCCCAGCCACCCTGCAGATCCCATCCTGTCCATTCCATCCCACAAACCTTGCAGACCCCATCCCACCCAACCTACTCACCCCAACCCTCCTGTCCTACCAACCCCATCCCACCCACCCTGCCCACACTCCAGATCCCACCCCACCCAAGCACAGGCCCAGCAGTGGATGAGAAGTGATTATTTTTATCTCTCAAGTGAGCAGAAGGATCAAAGAGAAGAAGGATCAAAAAACTCTGCTTCAATCCAAACCCAAATGAGTTCCGTTTGTTTTCTTGTTTTTCTCTCTTAAATCTAGCACAAAGCTGCAGGATCCACCCTAATTTGTGCCGTTCCCAAGGTAGAGTGGGGCTGTGACACCCATGGGTGACAGAGCCAGCTCTGCCTCACATTATGGGGCCCTTCCTCACCTTTTAGGGTTCCTGCCTCACCTTGTAGGGTTTCTGCCCGAAGCTGAAGGCCTCCCACATGGTCACACCGTAGCTCCAGACATCGCTCTTGCTGGAGAACTTATGGAAGAGGATGCACTCGGGGGCGTACCACTTCAAGGGCCACTTCCCTGCTGTCCTGGCCTGCAGCAGAGCAAGGAGGGACATTTGCAGCCTGAGATTGCTGGGAGCTGCACCTGGATTCTGCTGGGTGTTTGTGTCAAATCTCACATGGCTGAAAAAATCACCTGAAATGGGAGCTCCAAAGCCCAGTCCAGGCCCTGCTGTCCTGTTGTGCAGGTGCTGAATGCCCATGGTGCCACCCGCCCCCAGGGCTCAGTTAAGCCATGGAATCATGAAATGGTTTGGGTTGGAGGGACCCCAAAGCCCATCCAGTGCCATGGCAGGGACACCTCCCACTGTCCCAGACTGCTCCCAGCCCTGGCCTTGGGCACTGCCAGGGATCCAGGGGCAGCCACAGCTGCTCTGGGAAATCCATTCCAGGGATGGATTCCACAATTCCTGTGCAAGATCCCATCCAGCCCTGCCCTGTGGCAGTGGGAGCCATTCCCTGTGTCCTGTCCCTGCAGGCCTTGTCCCCAGTCCCTCTGCAGCTCTCCTGGAGCCCCTTCAGGCCCCAAAAGGGGCTCTGAGGTGTCCCTGGAGCCTTCTCCTGTCCAGGTGAGCAGGCCCAGCTGTGCCAGGCTGGCTCCAGAGCAGAGGGGCTCCAGCCCTGTGACCAGTTCAGTGGCCTCATTCCAACTGGTCCTCATCGTTCTTGAGCTGGTGGCCCCAGAGCTGGACACAGAATTCCAGGTGGGGTCTCTCCTTTAGTTGAGCACTGCTGGGAAGATCAGCCCTGGCTCACTCTTCATCACCTCTTCTCTCTGGCTCCTCTCATCCCCCTGGCTACCTCTGCATCCTCCTTGTCACCTCCTACCTCTGCAAAGCCCCTTTTGATGTCACACCAGTGAGGCACAGCCTGATGTGCAGAGGGGTCTGTGGACAGCCCAGATCCTCAAGTCTCTGGGGGTCTCATCCTCCCAGCCAGGAGGGCTCCTGCTCCAGACCCTTTGCTTGCTCACACCCACCTTGTAGTAGCTGTCGTCAGCTCCCAGAGCCTTGGAGAGCCCAAAGTCACTGATCTTGGCATAGTGCTGGTTGACCAGCAAGACATTCCTGGCTGCCAGGTCCCTGTGGACAAAGTTCTTCTCCTCCAGGTACTTCATGCCCATGGACACCTGGTGCATCAGCTCCACGATGTTGCTCGTTGTAATCTCGTCCCTGGGGAGGGTGAAAGGAGATCTCAGTCATAAAGAACCTGCTGTGGTCCCTTCTGGCTTTTCCAGCTGCAAGGGAGAATGAGCATGGAGAGCTCTGCTCCAGAAGCATCAGCCCCTGGAGCCTCACATTAAATATTTCTTTCTGCTCTTTTCAGCTTTCCTGCACCTACAAGGGTGTGGATGTGACAGCCTGGTCAGAGACAGAGAAAGCAAGATAAGCATCCTGGATCTCAAGCAAATTGTGTTCTATTTACCATCTGTATGGCGTTGTCTTCTGTTCAGTGGGCAGTTTTCCTTATCTCTTCTACCACTGGGGAGACATCTGCTGATAACAGCCATTGAATGTCACTGCATGGCTGATAAGAATTACAGCATCCCATTGGGAGATGTGAGCCCAGAGGGAGGAGCCAAGCATTCCTGCCTGGATATAATCTGGAGATTCTGGAACACCAGAACAGCTTCTGCACTGGATTCCCCAGAGGAACAGCAGCTGCCTCTTCTTCCACTGGAGCTTCAGAGGAAGAATACATCCTTCTCTACAGGACCCCCTTGCTCCAGCAGAACCACCCCTGACACTGCAGGAGGGCTGCAGCCACAATTCCAATGGGACTGCCACCAACACCCTGACCCACAGGGTGTAGGGTTGGGTTCTGACTCTCTCAGTGTTGTTTTAGTTCACTGCATTGTTTATCTTTTTATTTTCTTCCATATTAAAGAACTGTTATTTCCTGCTCTCATTTTTTTTTTGCCTGAGAGCCCCTTAATTTAAAATTTATAGCAATTTGGAAAGGTGGGCAGAGGTGGGGTGTTTTCCATTTTCCATTTCAGGGGAGGCTCCTGCCTTCCTTAGCAGGCACCTGTCTTTCCAAACCAAAACAGTAAGTTTTCCCAGAATCGTTCTGGGAAGCTTTAGGGAGCTGGAGATAAACAATGATAGCCAAATATTAAAAACTGGAGATAAACAATGATAGCCAAATATTAAAAATAATCTGCAGGCAGTGTTTTTCTAATAATCTGTTTTTCTGGTTTTCTCATAAGATTGGCTAATTAACAAGACACCCATTTGTAAGCAATCATATGAAATGTATTGATTAAATGACCAATCAGGTCCACCTGTAGCAAACTAAGCTATAAAAGAAGTGAGGGTGAAATAAATGAGGCTTTTTACCATTTTGCCTTCTGATCCAACTGCGTGTCATCTCTGACTCAATGGTGACACAAGGGTGGGCTTTTGAAGTCAATTTTGAGAAGAAACACAGAAAATCAGCCACGTTTTATCCAACACTCACTTCTTGGAAGCCAAGAACCTGTTGAGGGGCCCTCCAGAAGCCATCTCCATCACCAGCATCAGTGACTCGGCCTCGCACACTCCAATCATTCTCACAATGTAGGGATTGTCCAGCTGGTGCATGATCTGAGCCTCCTTCATCATCTCATCCTTCACTGTCTTCTCGTTGTTGCTCTTCAGCACCTTGATGGCCACGTCAATCTGCTTCCTGCATGGGGGAACAGTCGTTGTGTCACTGTTATATTTTCTGAAAAATCCCTTTGCCAGGATTGCTTCTCCTGTGTTTGCTGCTCTGGAATATGGTCTTGAGATTGTTTAGCCAAATATGTGATTGTTTTTTAATTAATAACCAATCACCATCAGCTGTGTCAGACTCTGAGGAGTCAGTTATGAGTTTCATTATTCATTCTTGTTAAGCCTTCTGTCTGTATCCTTATTTTTTTTTTAGTATAGTTTTAGTATAGCATAATATAATATGTAATATAATATGTAATAATAAATCCGCCTTCTGAGAACATGGAGATTTCTCATCTCTCACCTCATCCTGGGGACCTCACAAACACCACACCATGGGATGGGCTGAGCATAGCTGGAATTAGGGGTCACAGCCAGGAATGGAAATCCCTTTTCCTGGGACACTGATCTCTCAACAGCCAGTTCTGGCAGGGCCCTGCACCATCCTGGTGTCCCAGGATGGAGAGAAAGGTCACCTCACCTTTGTGGGTGTAGCCAGAAGTTGCCATCCCTGATCTGGGGATGACACCTCCCGTCCCACACTGAGATCTGGGTCATCAGTGCCATTTTTCCAGGAGGAAACTGAGGCACAAGTAGGTAAAGACCATCACAGACAACCAGGAACAATGCACAACTCCTCAGTGTCACTGCTCTGGCCTGACATGGACAGAGGTGGCCTCAGGAATGTGGAGTTGTTCCTCTGAGCACAGCAAGTCCCTTTGGAAGTGGCAGCAGCGTGCCTGGGAATGTGCAAATTACACACCCAGGGCACTGCAGCTGTCAGTGAAAATCCATGGGAAGCCATGGAATTACAGCATCATATCATAATATCCTGGGATCAGCTGGGTTGGAAAAGACCTGCAAGATCATCAACTCCAACCCCTGGCTGAACACCACCATCCCCACTAAACCCCACCACAAAACCTGCTCATCTTCTGAACACTTCCAGGGCTGGTGCCTCACCCATCACATCCATCACCCCCGACCTTCCAGATCATTTCTTATCCCCTCCAGTGTCACTTTGGGGCCCATCTAGTGACCAACAGGACAGCTGTGGACACCTCAAGCCCAGCCAGGTCCCTCTCCTCCCCCTTCCTTTCCCAGCACCCTCACTCACTTCCTCATTTTGTAAACTCCCTTCTTGACGCAGCCAAAGTTTCCGGCGCCCAGCTCCACCTCATCAATCATCAGGTGGTCCCTCTTCAGGAACAGTTTCTTGTCCTTCAGCTCCTCGGGGTCGCTGTAGGGGCTCTCGTAGACACTGGTGTCCATGGGCAGCAGCCGGGATTTTCCTGCCCCTTCCCAAGAGGAGCACTTGGTTATAAACCTGCCCTTCCCCATTTCCCCATCCCGCTGTCCCTCATGGATTGGGAACGGTTTCTCTGCTCTTTTGGCCAGTTCACCTCCACCTCCAACATTTCTGGTCCCTCCTGGGCATCTCCCTCCCTTTCACAACCCAGGACCCCTCCCCGTCCTGTCTCTTCACAGAGAGCAGCAGGCACAACCTTCCCAGGATTTCTCCTGGGGAAGGCAGTGAGAAGCTCAGAGAAAGAAGAGAGAAAACAATTCTTATCTCTATTTGCTGCTCCTGTTGTTTGGCAACATGTGGAATGTGTTATGGAGATTGTTTACCCAAAGCAATTTGTTAACTGACTCTGGTAATGATTTGGATTTATTGACCAGTTAGGTCAAAGCTGTCTGGTAAGGGTCATGGGTTTTTATTTAGTAATATAGTTTAGTATAGTATGAGTATAGTAGGTAGTATGATATGGTATGATATGATATGATATGATATGATATGATATGATATAATATAATATAATATAATATAATATAATATAATATAATATAATTAATATAGCAATTGTTCAGCCTTCTCAATCTTGGAGTCATTGCACATTATTCCTCTGGCTGGGTGTCATCCTGCATCAATACAGTCCTAGTGTACTGCAAGAGGTGGGATGAGGATAGGGGTCTGAGCATTCCCACTCCACATATCTGCCCTTTACCCCACTGAAATTCAGCTGAATTCACTGAAAAATGTTAATTTTAGTGAAAAAAGTAAATTTTAGTGAAAAATGCCAATTTTAGTAAAAAACGGGGCTACGACAGGGCTTCACTTGTGGCTAAGGCAAAGAATGGGGTAAGGCTTGATTTCCTGGGAGCCCAGTGTGAGTGCAGGGCCCTGAAATGTCTGGGGTGCTCCTGGGTGCTTTTGTAAGAAAGGAGTTTTGCAGCATGGCTCCAGGGAACCCCATGGCTCCTGGGACATTCCCTGTCCTGTCCCCTAAGAGGAGGAAAGGGCTCTGGAGGTGCTCACCAACAGGGTCTGGGGTGTATCCATCTGCATTGAGAGGGCCCAGGTTTCTCTGAAATGAGAAGAAATGAGGAGAAAGTGGATAAAGGAGAAATTGCTTCAGTTGCAAATGGAAGGGAAAGGGACAGGGAAAGTGCACCCCGACACAGCCCCAGCTGGTAATCCCTCTGAAAGGTGAGACTGGAGTGGTCTGGAGGCAACATTGCTGTGTATAAAGAAATTTTTTCTGTATAAATAAATAGAGGGACATCACTCAGCCTCACAATTCCTTGAGCTGGGAGGAACCCTCAGGGATGATCAGTGCAGCCCTGTCCCTGCACAGCCACCTCAACACCCCCACCCTGAGCACCCCTGGGAGCTCCTGCAGCTCTGGCAGCCTTGGCACCATTGCCTGGGCAGCCTGGGCAGTGCCCAGCAGCCTCGGGGGGCAGAACCTTGCCCTGAGCTCCATGCCAAGGCCTGGCACAGCTGCAGCCCTTGCTGGGCTCCTGTCCCTGTGCCAGAGCAGAGCTCAGCCCCTGCCCCTGTGCCTGCCCTGGGGAGGAGCTGCAGCCCCCGAGGAGCCTCCCCTCAGTCTCCTGGGCTGCAGCTGAACCAGCCAAGTGCCCTCAGCTGCTCCTCAGCCCTTCCCCAGCTCCGTGTCCCTCCTCTGGGCGCTCTCCAACAGCTTTGGGTCCTTCTGATCTTGTGGTGCCCAAAGTGCCCCCAGCACTGGAGCTGAGGCTGCCCCAGGGCAGAGCAGAGTGGGACAATCCCTCCCTGGGCCTGGTGCCCCCAGCACAGGGTGGCCCTTGGGGCTGCCAGGACCCAGCAGTGACTCAGATCCAACTGGCACTGACCAGGACCCCCAGGCCATTTCTGCAGTGCTCTGAGATGAGCCAGATCTGCTGTGATGCCTGGAACAGTTGCTGTGCACATCCCAAGGGATGCTCCTGCCTTAGAAGAGCTCAGCTTGGCCACCTTGGTCTGGTTCTCTGGCTGTCTGCTGATTTCCAGGACATCCAGGACAGCCAGGTTTGGCTTTGGGATTTGCTGCTGAATTTCTTTTTCCCTCAGCCCCTTCCCCAGCTCCATGTCCCTCCTTTGGGCACTCTCCAACACCTGGGCAGTGCCCACCACCCTGGGGGCCACTGTGGGTGAGGCGATGGGTGAGCCTCCAGACCTCACTCAGCCCCCCAGGATCCCCAAACCCGCTGCTTTCAGCCCAGCCCAGCACTCAGGGGCTGAGCAGGGACATTCCCCAGGGCAGGGCGAGCACAAAGCCCTGGCTGGGGGCCAGTGGGAGCAGCAGGGCTGAGCATTCCCAGAATCCCAGCGATGGAGGGGTCCCCAAGGACAGCCCCACATGTGGCAATGAGTTCTGGATGAATGGAAACCCTTCTCAGCTCCACCAAGGGCTGTGCCCAGCTATTCCCCACCCCCATCCAAGCTGGAAAGGGAACAACATCCCAGCTGGGCTTAATAAAGTCCAGCGCAGTTGCTGAGCTTTTAGACAAAAGCAGGGTTTGAAGAGCAGGGTTTGATCAGCCAGGCTTGAAATGCAGCAATATTAAAACCACTGAGCTCCCAATGAAACAAAGCCTCCCCCAAACTCACGCTCACGGAGGGGTGGGTGGGTGGAACTGGTGCTGCTGAGGCTGCAAAACAAGAGAGAGGGTTTGTTATTATGAATTTATCAGGAATTTGTTATCAGCAGTTTGTTATCAGCAGTTTGTTATAAGGAGTTTGCCACAAGCAGGGCCAGAGCATCAGTCCTTGAAGGACCCTGTGGGTCTGATCCCATCCCCTCCAACCCCCAAAGGAAAATTTTCCCAGCTTCAGCCTAAAAAGGAGTGGAAATGGCTCTGGATGTGGCTGTTATTCCCAAGTTTTGTTAGGGAAAGTGCCACCACTGGAGCACCCCATGGGCAGGGACTGGCTGAGCTGTGTCCCAGGACAGGGCAGCTCTCAAGTGACATTTGTGACATGTGGAGCCAAAGTGGCCCCTGGGAGGAAGAGAAATTTGGGCTGGCACTGCTCCAACTGGCACCAGATCGTGGCAATCCAAGGCCAGGGGTGGCACTGGGAGGTGTCAGCTCACCTGGCATGTTGGGGTTGGGGCAGGCTTCCCTCAGGTAGAAAATCAGCCCGTCTGGTTTGAGTTTTAAGTACTCCACCAACTGGGAAAGGGATGAGAGGAAAAAGAGATTATTGTGAGGAGAAAAAAAATCAATACATAATATATAATATATAATATAGAATATAGAATATAGAATATAGAATAATATATACTAATCAGTAGATAGTATATATTAATATTATAATATATAAGTGTATATTTATATATTAATATAATATATACTTATATATTATATTAATATAACTTAATAATATTAATTTAATAATATATAATTATATAGCATTTAATATCATTTAATATAATGCAATTATATATATTTAAAATAAAATAAATCTTTATACTGTATGGTTTATATATTATAATATATAATATATAATACATAATATATTACATATTATATATTATATATATTACATAATATATATTACATAATATATAATACATAATACATAATACATAATACATAATACATAATACAAAATATTAATATTAATATCAATTAGATAGTAATATGTTATAGTATTGTATAGTATATATTTAATTTTATGTTTTTAATATATGTAATTATATGTTATTTACTGTATTATACATATTATCATATTATATTATATTATATTATATTATATTATATTATATTATATTATATTATATATAAAAAATGTAGATGATGATGATGATGATTTTTTTTTTTTTTTTTTTTTTTTTTTGTGGCTTAGTACTATGATTCCTCTCAGATTTATGGCAGGCAGGCACCAGACTGTTTCTGTCTTCTCTGTGTGCACTTAGGGATGTCCCAGGGTATGATTGCATCCCTGGATATCTGCCAGAGCTGGGAAGAGCTTGGGAAATTGAATAAGGCCCAAAGGAAAGACAAAATCTGCAGTCTGAGCAGGGCGTGTGGAGCGCAGTGCCATTGTTGTGCCAGCCAGGAAGGGGTTTAGGCCCTGAGGTGTGGGATAAATCCTGAGAGAAGGCAGATTCTTTCCCCCAGAGGACCTGCAGGGCTTGTTCTGTGGATCCCAGGCAGTTTTTGATGGTGGCACCCCTGGAGCCAGCACAGAGAGGACATCACTCAGCCTGGGGACAAAGAGCTCAGCCCCCAAGGACACCGGGCTTTCCCTTCCCCTCCTGCCTGGCTCAGATTTCAGCTGCAATTGAGAGCCGGGCACGGCTCTGTTGCCATAAAAATGCCCCAAAATCTTTGTTCTCAATAAAATTCCATGTGAAAACAGCCCTGGGAATCCAGAAAATTCAGCAAAATGGGGTTGTTGTCCCTCAGACAGCCCTAGCCAGGAGGAAGCTCTGGCATCCCCTCCCTGCCTAATTTTTGTTAATGGTTTAACTCTTAAATGACTTGTTTTAATTAATTAACCCCAACCAATATATGCATTAATTATAAATATTGTGTTATTCTTCAGTTACTCCCAGCCAGGATGGAACAAGGTTGTCATGAGCTACTTTTGCAGGAGCACAGCTGGACAAAATTACTGGAATTTTAAGTTTTGATAAACTAACTCTGATATACCCCAGTGAACAAAGCCAGGGAGAGGAAGATGGATTGAGGTTGGACATCTGGAATGCAGAATTTATGGACCACAAGGAGACTTTGGAGAAACCAGAAGAAAAAAAGAAGAGACTAAAAATGATTCAGTTTAAGCACTGGAGAGTCCCTGCTAAGGAAAAAAAAATAGAAAAAAATCTTTTTTAGTTTTAAAAAAATTAAAAATATGGTCTAATTAGCAGAAAAGAGAAATTAATAACCAATAGAGGATAAAATACTAATTAATGAAAGAGAATTAGCATGGAATCATGGAATATTCTGAGTTGGAAGGGACCCCTGAAGATCAGTGGTGATGATTATTAATTATTAAGTGATGGGGATCAAACCACAACTTTGGTGTTATGATGTCATTTAGAAACAATGAATATTAATTTATTTTTCTATATAAATAAGTATAAAAATTAAAATACTTTTATATAAATATATTTTCTAAAATATAAATATAAATATAAATATAAATATAAATATAAATATATCGTATTCCTATAAATAAATATTTATATTTTATATCATTTTATATAAATATAAATGTCTAATCAAGTAATAACATTTTGGATCAGGGTCTGTGTGGCGGCCAGAATTTTGTCAGCCATGCACACAACCCCTGGCCAGGAATAAAATAATTCCTGATTTGCTGACACTAAAAAAATGGCATTAGAGGGGTTTATTTATTTGTTTGTCCTGAAGATTTTGAGGGACTTGGTAATGCTTCACAGCAAGGAAAAAGTGCCTCAATTTCTTGGTACCTGCCAGAGTGTGTCGAATTTGGTGCCCTCAGGAATGGAATATTTCCCAGATTTGTCATGATCCACCCGGTAGTGATACACAGTCTTGCCATAGACGAGGGACAGGGCGTAGGCACGATTCTCCTTCTTCTCTCTCAGCCTGGCAGGGAGGAAAATGATTCAGAAATTATTAAAAGCAGCTCTTGGTTTTACTCTGAGGATTGTCAGTGCCAGTGGTGAGTGGGTATGGGTACATGGAGAGGTGTCCCTGCATCCCTGTATAAAATTATATGTATTATATATATTTGTACATATATATATATATATATATATATATATATATATTTGTACATATATATATATAAAAAATATATAATATAATATATAATATGTAGTATATATTATCTAATATATAATATCTAACATATAATATATAATATATATTATATAATATATAATATACAATATACAATATATAATATATAATATATCATATAATAGATAGATAATAGGTAATAGATAATAGATAACATACAATATATAATACATAAAATATAATACATTAGGCATTATGTATTGTGTATTATATATTATACGTTATATATTATATATTATATATTATATATTATATATTATATATTATATATTTTCATAAATTATATATATTATAATATATTACATGCTATAAAGTTATATACTATTATATATTATAAAATTATACATATAATGTATAAAATTATATATATTCCAGTACAAAACAAAATGCAAGAGGCTGTCTGGAGCTATTTTTAAGGGCAGTGGGGATGGAAAATGGTCAGAAATCCAGGGATGCCAGCATTGCATACTCACAGGAATTTCCCATCAGGCTGTGCCCCTGAGTAGAGTCTCCGTTCTGCCTCCTCCCTACTGATGTTGCCGTGGTACCAGGGCATCCTCTCATGGGCTGTGGTGGCCACCAGCTTCTCCACCTGGGGAGCCTGGCTGATGATGGCCTGTTCCAGGGCATCCCCCTGGAAAAGAGCAGGAAAAGAGACCTCCTGCCATCCTGCTGTTCTGCTGATGGCTTCAGCACAGCTCACTGGGGGCACAGGACACAGGAAACTTGGAAGGCCTCGTGATCAACTGAGACCCAACAGCAGCTGAATTATTTTCTGCTGCAGAGCAGAATTCCTGCTCAGGGCAAGGTTCTTCCCCCCAAGGGTGCTGGGCACTGACCAGGATCCCCAGAGAATGGTCCCAAGGCTGCCAGAGCTCCAAGAGAGATTGGATACAGACTCACACAATTCACAGAGTCACAGAATTCACAGAATTTCAGAATCACTGGGTTAGAAGAGACCTTCAAGATCATCGAGTCCAACCCAGCCCCAACACCTCAGCTGAACCCTGGCACCCAGTGCCACATCCAGGCTTTGTTAAACACACCCAGGGATGGTGACTGCACCACGTCCCCGGGCAGCCATTGCAGAACTTTTTTACCCTTTCTCTAAAAAATTTTTTCCTGATATCCAACCTGTATTTCCCTTGGCACAGCTTGAGGCTGTGTGCTCTGGTTCTGTCAGTGCTGCTGCAGAAAGAGCCCAGCCCAGCTGAGCACAGGCACCTTTCAGGAGCTGCAGAGAGCAATGAGGGCACCCCTGAGTCTCCTTTTCTCCAGGCTGAGCACCCCCAGCTCCCTCAGCTGCTCCTCACAGGGTTTGTGTTCCCAGCCCCTCACCAGAGCCCTCAGGGGTGCTCAGGGTGGGGTTGTTGTGGTGTCTGTGCAGGGACAGGGGCTGCGCTGGATGATCTTTTGGGTCTCTTCCAGCTCAGGATATTCCATCTCTCCGTGATTTTCTTGAGAGCACAACCTTTCTGGTGCCCCTGCCCACCACCCACAGGCACCAGGACTTGGCAGGGTCGGCGCAGTCTGGCAATCACAGGGAAGGACCCTGAGCTCCTTTCCCCGGGCTCACACCGGTGCCAAACTGTTCCTGTCCCTTTGCCAGGAGGTGGCGATGTCCTTTGTGCTATCTGCAGGTGGCCACAGATCTGCGCGGGGGGAAACCCTACAGAATCCCCTGTTCTGGGAGAGAATTCTGCTACAAAATACCTCATTTTAGCACAGAACACCTCAATTTGCTATGGAAACCCTAGAGAACACCTCGTTCACCCTATAAAATACCTCATTCTGTCAAACACATTTGGTGTAAATAGGCCAAATTCAGGAAGCTTCTGTAGAAAGGCTCCATAAGGGCACTGCCTGAGCCATATTTCTCCAAGGACTTAAAAGTCAGAAAAAATAAAATCCCAGAATAATTTAGGTGGGATAAGACCTCCAGAGTCATCAAGGCCAAGCTGTGCCCCATCCCCAGTTTGTCCCCAGCTCAGAGCACTGAGTGCCACCTCCAGGCCTTCTTTGGACATCTCCAGGGATGGTGACTCCAAACCTCCCTCGGCAGCCCCTGCCAAAGAAACAACAAAATGACCCCTGGAAATGTCTGAGGAGCCAAGGTAGCAGCAGGCAGAAAGATATGAGGTCCATGGCTGCCAGTGGGAGCATTTTGAGTTTTGATTTATATATTTTGATTTATATGATTTTTTTATATTGTAGATGTTCCAGTCTGCAATAAAATGCAGGCTCCTGTTTGTGGCCATTTTTAAATATAAATAATTCACAGACCTGATCCACCTCCCCTTTCTTGATCGCATGGGTAAAACCTTCACTGATTAAAAAAAACATCCAGAGATGCAAAAATTCCACTCCAAAGAGTGAAAATGACCAGAGCAAAGTCTAAATCTGCTAATCTGCTTTCATTTCATCTTCAGCACAATGTTTGGAGGCATGGGCACCTCATATATGGAGAGATGTTCCCAGAAATCACAGAACATTCTGAGTTGGAAGGGAACCACAAGGATCATCAAGTCCAGTTATTAAGTAAATGGCCCCATATGGGGATGGAACCCAAAGCCTTGGCATTATTAGCACCTGCTCTGACCAACTGAGCCAATCCCAGGACTGGGATGGAGAATCTGCTGCCAGCAGTGCCAGGGATACATCCATGGCATGGAGATCATGTCTTTATGTGCCCCTGGAGCTCTGTGGTTGGGGTTTGGGACGGGTTTGTTTAGATCTGGGATGGGTTTGTTGGGGTTTGGGATGGGTTTGTTTGGTTCAGGGATGGGTTTGTTGTGGTTTGGGATGAGTTGGTTTAGTTTTGTAATGAGTTTGTTGGGGTTTGGGATACATTGTTGGCTTTTGGGATGGGTTGTTGGCTTCTGGGATCAGAGCTCCAGTTTAAGGCAGGGAGCATCCCATGGGATGCAGAGGAGAGGGCCTGCAAAGTCAGTTCCAGCTGTTCCAAGGACATGTCTGAAGGCTTGGGAAGATGTTTAGACCAGTGTGTGGAGAAGAAACTGAGATAGAGCAGGATTCAGACCCCTCACAGTGCCAGCATCCTCCAAGGAGAGCAATCTTACTCTGCTGTGCTGCAAATGGACATGACAGCACCACAGGGATCACAGCTTCCCACCCTGATGGAACCCTGGCTGCTGAGAATTTCAGACTTTCTGTGCTGCCAGGCACTGACCCCCAAGAGAACACTGCATTGACCTGAGGCTGTGGAGAAGCTTCCAAAATGGAATGACAGAACTGGGATTGTGGGAGTGCAGTTTGAATAGAAGTGTGTAATAGCACATGGTAGAAAACACAGACTTTAAGGGTTTAAAATACAGTAAATTATACAAAGCAAAATGGAGGTTTTGGGGTGGAGCCTGGTCCTTCACCTTCTTCTCCATGGGTTTGAGTGGCTTTGTGTAATTGGATAAAAAGTCCACATCGTGAGCCATGGGTGGTTGGGTATTGGGTTAAAAGTAAAAATAATTTACTTGTCATTTCTTAACTGGACAGTTTATCCTTAAAAGGACTTGTAGAGAGAGAGATAGGGCTTCATTTTTTAGCTTGCTAGAGTGAAGTGCTGCAGAACTCTTGGTTTGTGGGACTGTAACAGAGATAAGAACTGATAAACGTCTGAGTGCCAACCTGAAACACCGCAATTAATCCTGACCCTGGCAAAAAATAAGAGAAGCAAAAAAAAAAGACAAGCAAAAAAAGAAAAAGCAAAAAAAAAAAAGAATCCACACGACCCCACACTTTGAAAGCCCCAGTACCTCCAGTTTCCAGGTCTGCCGCACGTATTCCCGCACCATGTTGTCCCTCATGCTGTCAAAGACGCCGGGCTGGGGCTCCACCCCGCTGGGGCGGTTGCAGGGCTTGCGCAGCGGGCAGCAGAGCCCGTCGGCGTCCTTGGAGTAGAACTCGCAGAGCTCCTCGGGGCCGCAGTGCGCCTTGCCCCCCAGGATGGCGTAGGTGCCGTTGAGCTGGCGCTCGATGGGGTAGTGGTAGAACTGCAGGTCGCACACCTGTCACAGAGATCTTTTATGGAAAATCCTTTCCTTAAGATTTTTCCCCCTGAGAAGCTGAGGGGCCTCAGGAACAAAATGTAAGCAATGGTTATCTGCTGCTGTGGAATGCAACAGGTGCATCTGGGATTGGCCCACGTTGGATGTTTGTAATTAATGGCCAATCACAGCCCAGCTGGCTTGGACACAGAGCCCAAGCCATAAACCTTTGTTATCATTCTTTGCTATTCTATTCTTAGCCAGCCTTCTGATGAAATCCTTTCTTCTATTCTTTTAGTACAATTTTAATGTAATATATATCATAAAATAACAAATCAAGCCTTCTGAAACATGGAGTCAGATCCTCGCCTCTTCCCTCGTCCAAGAATCCCTGTGAACACCGTCACACCTACCATGGAGAGCACGTAGCCGCCCAGGCTGCGCAGGCACTGCCGCAGCAGGAACAGCCCGTCCGCCATCCCGCCCAGCTTCAGGTGCTCCTCGGCCTCTGAGCGCGCGATGCTGCCGTAGTAGAAGGGCAGGTGGGCGGCAGCGTCCGGCATCTCCCCCTCCGCTCGATGGATTACGCGCTGTGGAGGCTGGTGGGTCAACAGGGAGGAAGGTGACGGTGCTCCCCTGCAGGGAAAAGCATTCAAGTTATAACCAAATGTTGGGGAAGATGAAACAGGAAAGCCTTATCAATATGATTGCCTGGCAAAAGATTTTGAGAATATAGAAAATACAAGCAAGATTGAAATGAAAGCAAGCTTTGAGATACCTCAGTTACTGAGCAATGGGAAAACAATGGCGTGGCCAGCTGAAGGTGATCCCCTTTTGATGGAACAACACCCTCTGCTTGCAGGCAGCTCCAAGGGTCAGAGCAGACCCTACTTGGACCTGTCTGCAAGGTCCAAGTACTACCTTGGCAGAAGGGGCCCAAAGAGGAATTTTTAGGGTTTAAAATATAACACAGTATGGTAATGTAATGATTCTTATAGGCTGTATGGAAATGCCATAGGATTTGTATCTTGTACTAGATTGGTTAGTGAGAATTAGAATATTCAACATGGAAGATTTATTGTATTGTAAAGGGAACCTCATTCTCTTACCCCTTTTACTCTCTTTTCCCTTTTACTTTCTTACCCTTTTGCTCTCTTACCCTCTCATCCTCTCTACCCCTCTCTTCTCTCAGTCCTGCTCTGAGCTGTGGCTGGCAGCTCCCAGCAGGGCCCTGCACCCAGGCCCTTTGCAATAAACCCCAAGTTCCATTACCTGGCTTCAGAGATCTCTCATCTCTGTCCATCCCGACCTCGCTACCCACCAATGCGCCTACAACCAAAAGGCTTCTCCCAGCATGCCTTGCTGTGATATGCAGATTCAATGTATCCCATTGGCCCTTCCCCCTTGCTCCACCCCTGTGCCCTCATCCCATTGGCCCTGGTGTTCTGTCCTGCCCCTCGAGATCCGTATATAAATCCCTGCTTTCCCTACTGGAATGTTTCTTTCTTCCTGGATCTCTTTGAGGAAGAAGCTCAATAAAGGCTCTCCTTGGAACCCCATACCAAGACCCAGTCTCTCCTTCTGCATCACCTGGATCACAGAGGAGCTGAAATCATTTGGCATGAGCACAGATGTGCTCTGCCCCCAAGGTGACTTTTTCAAGACCATTCTGAGCAATACCTGCTGTGACAACCCACTGCTGGGGCCCAGCCTGGCAGGGAAAATTGGTCCCTGAAGCATCATTTTGCAAAATGTTTTAATTGGGGTTCAGACTTCCCTGTCTAGATGTTCTCCCACTGGCTCTCTGTGGGGTCATTTCAAACTCACAGCATCCCACATCCTTCTATTCTGTCCTTACTAGAGCTGAGAAGTGTAAATAAAAATCCACCTGATTTTGATTTAAATATCCCAAGCAACAGAGAATCCACTTGATCTTGATTTATAGATGCCGAGGAATAGAGAAACCCCCTGAACCTGGTTTAAAGATCCCAAGCAAGAGAGAATGGCCCAAATCCTACAGTGAGTTCCTCCAGTCCTTGATTACCTTCACGATTAAAAATGTGCTCCTTAAATCCATCCTGATGTTTTTAGCCTTGACTTCCTACCATTTTCTCTCCAGCCCTGTTCACAATAAAAGGAAATTCTTTGGCCTCTCTGGATAAATGAGCTTTGCCATGGAGGTCTAGAAGGCCAAAACCTTAAATACATTGAGATCAAAACATGAGATGGATATGAACCGTCTAAAACAACATTTAGATAAACAACTGCACCAAGCACAGCGAAAGGAGAGAAACCCAAGTGCTTCTGGGCAGACATCAACCAGCAGTCAGCAGAAACAAGGAGAAACCTTCCTTGAATTGTTTTTTAAACAATCTGTGGAATTTTTCCCTACAATACCTGGCTCTGGCTGGTTCCTGATGCTCTGATCCCTTTGGCAGAGAGGCCCCTTCGTTGACCAAGCCCTGCAGAGCCTCTGGTGCCAAAGACCTTTAGGGCTTGTCGTGGTACAGGGCTTGTATCTCTGTCTTGAATCACCTAAAATTCCACCCAGAGGGTGTTGACAGAGCCCAGTTTGCTGTGATCAATGGAAATTTTACCATCACCAAAGGGTCTCATTTGTTCCCTGAACTTTGGCATTGCTCCTGCGCAGACGATGACCCCAAAAAGATCAGAGAGATTTCTCCACCTGCGCCTCCTGCAAACACGTCACTCATGTGAGGAGCAAAGAAACACCAGATTTTGGGGCATCACATTGGCTATTTGCTCTGATTCTTCCCAATTTTGCTCTTCTGGATGTGGTGGGAGAAGTTGTTTCCCCATGGGCTGAGCCCACTGCTGTAGTCTCTGCTCCCAGGCAGTGGCCGGATGTCGCAGCCATCTTTTATGGAAAATCCTTTCCTTAAGATTTTTCTTCCTGAGAAGCTGAGAGGCCTCAGGAACAAAATGTAAACAATGATTATCTGCTGCTGTGGAATACAATAGGTAGATCTGTGATTGGCCCATGTTAGATGTTTGTAATTAATGGCCAATCACAGTCAGCTGGCTTGGACAGAGAGCCGAGCCAAAAACCTTTGTTATCATTTTCTCCTATTCTATTCTTAGCTAGCCTTCTGATGAAATCCTTTCTTCTATTCTTTTAGTACAGTTTTAATGTAATATACATCATAAAATAACAAATCAAGCCTTCTCAAACATGGAGTCAGATCCTTGTCTCTTCCCTCAACCTGAGCCCCCTGTGAACACCATCACAGCTGGAGCTGTGCCTGGGCATGTGGTCAGCCCTGCGCTGGTGGTCAGCCCTGCCCTGGCTCATGCCAGCCTGGTTCATCCCTCCCAGCAGCACAGGCCCCTCCTGCCATCCCCTGGCATCTCTGGAGCTGGGGAGGGCTTGGCTGGATCTCTGTGTTGGAAGGGCTCAGGAGGAGCCATTCTGCCCATGCACCCTGCCCTGCTCAGCCCTCAGCAGCAAAGGGCTGCCAGGAGCTGGATTTATGGCCACCAGAGCCTCCTCTACCTATCTGTTGTCCCCATGAAGCTCTGAAATGGCCCTGATGAGAACAGGGAGAGCAGAGAGGAGGCATCTCAGCTGAGGCAGGAAACCACAACAGGAAGCGTCAGTGGTTCACAGCCAGGCTGAAGGACCAGCAGAAACCATCCCAGGCACAGCTCAAATCAGCCCAAATTGTGAAGGCCCTGTCACCAAATTCACCAAATGGAGCAAAGGGAGGTCTTGGCACAGCTGCCAGTCTGGAATGTGAAGGTGAATGGGAACACCCTGAGGCTCAAACCCAAACTGGAGTTGGTGCTTGGGACCAAAGCAAAGCATCCTAATCCTGTGGTGCCTCCAGACATCAAAGCCCAGACTGGTTCCCAGAGCTGGTTCCCCAGGTTCAGCTCCTGAGACCAGCTGGCTGCCAGCTCTGCCCGAGCTCAGCCTGCTCCCAAGAGGATAACTCCAGGAAAATGGGCTGAAGGAGACGAGCAGGGAGGACTGCAGCTCTTGGGTTTAGCTGCAATCAGGTTCATGAGTCACGTTCTTGAGAACCAGGAAGTACTGAGTGGGCAGAGGGACGTCAGTGGCCTCCTGTGTGAGCTGCTGCTTTGCACTGGGACAAACAGCCATGACATCTGCACCCAGACCTGCTGAATCCCTGCTCTGGAAATTCCAGGAGCAGAACATCACAGCAAGTGGAGCACCTGTGTCAGCAGCTCAGCCAGGTGAAAGTGAGAGGGCACAGAAGTTATAGATGACATGTGAGCCCTCACAGAATTTCCAGCTGCCCACACTGGGTGCTCTGTTGTAAACAGGATGTTTTTCCTCTCCAAACACAGAGCTGGGAGTGAAGAAACCCTCACAGAGATAGGAGATAGACCCAGGGCTCAGAGGTTGGGTCAGGTAGTGCCACCCAAGCCTTTCTATCACAGATCAACCATGGTAGGAAGTTACTCTGCTGAGTAAAACCTTCCCAGTCCTGAGACACGAGGGAAAGTCACTGAGAGCAGATATGAACAGGAAGATTTATAATCCCTCCAAAGCTCTTACTTTTAAATATTTGCCCTGGCTGGTTTTATTGACCACACACCAGTTCAGAGTCTCCTCTAATTCCTCTTCCAAACTCTGTTCTGGATGGACCTGAGCAACCCGGAACAACCTCAACAGACCTGCACAAATATCCTTCAGCTTTGTTCTCCCACACTGCCAAATGCAGCCAAAAATGAGAACCAATTTCATGGGACAGCACCTGAAAGAACCTGTGCAAGGGACCCTCCATCATTATTCATTTCAATTAACAGGACCTCGTTTTTCCTCGTTTTTTAATCTGTATCCCTGGGGCTGCTGGGTGTTCCCTTGGGTTTGGGTGGTCCCACAGGTCGGACACAGAATTCCAGAATCGCAGAATTCAGAGAATTCCAGAATCACTGGGTTGGAAGAGACCTCCAAGATCATCGAGTCCAACCCAGCCCCAACACCTCAACTGAACCCTGGCACCCAGTGCCACATCCAGGCTTTGTTAAACACACCCAGGGATGGTGACCCCACCACCTCCCCGGGCAGCCATTGCAGAACTTCAACACACTTTCTGTAAAAACCTGAAAGAATGATCAATTTTTCCTAATATCCAACCTATGTTTTTTCCTAATATCCTAATTAGGTTTTTCCTAATATCCTACTATAGTTTAGGATCTCACCAACTTCCTAATATCCAATCTATATTTTTTTCCTAATGTCCAACCTACATTTTTTTCCTAATATCCAACCTAAATTTCCCTTGGCACAGCTTGAGGCTGTGTGCTCTGGTTCTGTCAGTGCTGCTGCAGAAAGAGCCCAGCCCAGCTGAGCACAGGCACCTTTCAGGGGGATGTAGAGGGTGATAAGGGCACCCCTGAGTCTCCTTTTCTCCAGGCAGGGCTGGAAGCCCAGGGTTCCTCTGGTGGTGGCCACATTGGCAAGTTGGTGTGATGACGTGAAGATGCACCCAAAAAAACAACTCCCACATGAAATCAGTCGGGTCTGTGCCCCACAACACAGGAAAAGCAGACAGGAAGCCCTGGAGATGTCACT